ATCTTGATGAAACTTGGATTCTGGTGCCTAGAGATGTCAACTTAAATTATAAAACCAATTTCAGAATTCTAACTACACGGCAACTGGGCTAAGCTAATACAATATCATTTAGCCCAATAGTACAGTTATAGTTACGAATAATAACTTATAGCAATAATATTGAACATTTATTATCTAAAAATAATACATTTTTGTTTATGTTACTTTAGGTAAAATAATTGATTGTTACTGATTTAATTTGGATTTAGTTTATATCAAAAAATCGTATAAAATTGATAACAAATTAAGTGCTAAAATATCTGTACAATATATATTGTACAATATTTAACATTAATTTGCAGTAAAATTAATTTTAATTAAACAAAATAAACGGCAGTTTCTATTAAGCAAGCAATTGTCCAGTTGTTCATTAAATTCATTTATCCATTAACTTTTCTAACACTCTCTGAAGTGCCCTCCGTTGCCATCGGACCGCCCATTGAACTACCCATTGAGCCTCCCATTGAGCCCCCCATAGAGCCGCCCATCTCTCCATTCATAACGCCCTCAAATCCACCACCATTTTCATCGGCTCCGCCTCCCATCGGTTCGCCACTTCCACCACCAACGGGTCCGCCACTTCCGCCTCCCATCATAACTCCCCCGTCAACACCCACTGAGCCCTCACTTCCGCCACCCATTGAAACTCCAGTTCCGCCTCTCATTGGTCTTCCACCTGTGCCTCCACTGCCATACACTCCATAAGGAGTGGGTCCGCCATACCATCCATATTGATCAGGATATACACCATTGCCATACAATCCGCCCCCATATGCGGGATATCCGCCCAAATAGACGCCGCCGTAATTGGGATAAACGTATGGCTGAGGGTATGCGCCCCCGTATACAGCGCCCCCATACAGACCACCGTCATAGACACCTCCATCATAAATAATAGGTCCGCCGCCAACACCATAGTAACCACCAGCGCCTCCTCTGCCAGTCAACTGTGTCCGACCGGCGCCTCCCACAGCGCCGACCACTCGACTGCCGCCTAACGGTATTTGTCGGGCACCGGAAAACGCTTGACGACCGACTGTAGTCAATCCGGCCAACTGAGCACCGCCTCTAACCTGTCCCTGACGTGCGCCCGCAGGCACTGCCTGACGACCGCCACCGTATACACCCTGTTGTCCATACAGTCCTCCGGCGTAATACTGACCTCCAGATATGGGTCGCACACCATATGTGCCGCCGTAAGACTGCTGTGTGTAAGGCGTCTGTCCGTAAGTCCAAACTACGCCCGGAGTTTCCCATCCAATGTTGGCTGTCTTCCAGGCGCCGCCATATCCCTGTCTACCGGCGCCACCGTTTCCGGCCCTCCATTGACCCCCATATCCACCGCCAATGCCTCCCAACTGAGCGCTACCACTGCGGGCCACGCCGTGAGTCCTGTGGTATTCACCGGCGCTGCAAAGCTTGACCCCAACAAAGCAACCGATCAACACTAGAAATGACTGCAAATTAAAAATTTACGTTAAGTTTAAGATTTAATTAATATTAAAGTCTTATTATTTATAAACCATTTATATTTACCACTGATTTCATTGCTTAAAACTTCTTAAAAATTTTTGGGCTTTTCATTAAGTTTTCAAAATTATAAAACCTGATGAAAGCGTCGATATAAAGTTATTAGTAAATGGTTTCCTAATTAATCCTCTTATATATAATTTTGGGCACTTTCTTAGCCTTGGATTTACTGTATTTCTAAACAAAACAAAATTTTAGATGTGTTTCAATGTCTGGTTGCAAAAAATTGTTACTTTATAGATGACATAGATTTGCATTATTTATGTCCACAACTGGTCTGAATATCAAGTAAATACATATTTTTCATATTACACTATATTATCGTCTCATCACTTGATTGTATATTTTAATGAGAATGAGATGAATATGAGATGAAATTGAAAACAGAATTATTTATATGAAAAATAAGAAAATTTCAAGAGATAACACAATATATAGAAAGTGATGGCATTTTGTTTTCTTGATACACTTTTTGACTACAAATTGTGCACAAATTCTGTTCAATTATTCAATGATTGTATTATTTTTTGTTATAATTATGAATACTTTTATAATTATCTTAAAAATTATTGTCTTATAATTATTACTTGTTTTAAAATTACTCTTATTATTTTTCACATTTCAATTCATATTTCAAATTCATATTTTAACATAATCAATCTAATGTTAAATCTAATTATATGGTGTGCTCACGACAGACAAGCTATCAGCAAGTATTTTATTAACAAAAAATAATTTTTATAACTGATGTATAATTTATTTACTATTAAATTATTTTTAAATAAATAATAATTGTAAAATTGATGTTTGAATTAATTTTATTTTTAAAATTTTATAATTTGTTACACGGAATGTATTAATAAGAAAGTAAATATAAAAATAATACAAAGATATAAAAATACATTAAGTTTATGATAGATTGGTTGCCAACAAAACTCTAATATAAAAATATGTCAAAATAACCACTCATTTAATTATTGTTGCGATCCATTAATTGTCCATTAAATGCCATAAAATTTTATTTAATCTGAGGGCCAGCAGCAGGTGCTCCGACACCACCGCTTCCACCACCAGCTCCACCAGTACTCGCGCTTCTGGAAGTACTACCACTGCTATACAATCCGCCACCGTTTAGGCCGTAGCCGTATGACTGTCCGCCATATCCTCCTCCCTGTCCCCCATAAATACCACCGCTATATAGACCACTGCTATACTGACCACCATTGGCGCCATAGTATCCCCCATATGCTGGGTATCCGCTATAATACATTCCTCCGCTGTATGCGGGATAGCCGTACTGTCCGGACTGACCCCCGCCATACATTCCGCCACCATATCCGCCATAAATGCCGGTTCCGTACCCGCGAACGCCATATCCACGGCCACCACTCGTCCCATAACCCCACTGTCCGCCAACACCACGCCCTCCAGAGACCCACTGCCCTCCAGTTAACTGTCCGCCAACACCACGCCCTCCAGAGACCCACTGCCCTCCAGTTAACTGTCCGCCGCTAACAGGTCTCGCTCCAGACACCCATTGAGTTCCGCCATAAAGTCCCTGCCCTCCACTTGTAAGGGCACCAGCAGTTTGTCCAACTCTATCGCCCGCAATCCATTGTCCGCCATATACTGGTTGTTGTCTCCTAATTATCGCCGGACCACTCACTCCATACATTCCAGCCAACTGTCCTCCACCGCCGCCATAATATCCTTGTCGGGCGACAGACATGCCATACATGCCTTGTCCGCCGCTATATCCGCTATATATGGGTGCGACTGCAGGTGCCTGAATAGGAGCTGCTATTGGGAGTTGCATCGGAGCAGGTCTGGGAGACGGCATGGGAAGTGGTCGGGGCATTGGCGCTGGCATTGGCATTGGTACGGGTCTGGGAACCGGCATAGGAGCCGGTAAGGGAACCGGTTGTGGAGCGGGTATGGGAGCTGGCATTACATACTGTCTATAGACTTGTCGTTCGCCACCATATAGCCCGACACCACCGACCAGGCCTTGAGGAGCTCGCCCTCCTGTAGTCCATTGGCTCTGCCACTGCCCGCCACCAGTTTGTCCCTCACGTACAACAGGTTGTACTTGTCTGCCGCCATACATGCCTTGGGCGGCGCCCCCATAAATTCCCTGTCCAACGCCGTACAGTCCACCAGATGTGCCGTATTGTCCCCCGTAATAGGCGGGCGTCACGCCATACGTTCGGCCGCCGCCGTAGTATTGGCCGCCATATACGGGTCGGACGCCATACGTACCATACGTGCCATAGTCTCCGCTCCCGCCGTATAATCCTTGTCCGACGCCATACATTCCACTTCCACCGGAATATCCCTGTCCGTAGCCATACGGGCCATAGCCGTAGGATATACCGGGATATCCCCAGCCATAGCCGCCGTAACCGCCATATCCCTGTCCAGCGCCACCAAATTGACCACTAGATCCATAGCTACCGCCCGAACTACCAACGAGTCCACCGGAAGCACCAGAACTTGATATGCCTCCGGCGCTTCCACCGGCAGTTCCAACGCCAGAGCTGACTAAACCTCCAGCACCTGCCAGACCAGCGCCATCAGGACTGTACTGACCACAACCAAGTGTGATGAACGTACATGCTATAAACAATGTCTACAAAAGTACAATTATTAATTGCATATTACTTGATAATTAATGAATGCTTACCGCGATATACATTGTTTGGTCACTTTTATGGTCAAATCTAGTGACGAGTTGTTGTTTTTGGTTAAAATTGTTGATTAAAAATATGTTAAAAGCTTTTCATTAATAAAAGTGATTGAGATTTTTGTTAATCCGTTTATTATATACCAATTATTTTTCATAATATTCTTAGCCTTGGATTTACTCATCAAAAGAGACTGTTATTTATGTTAAGGAATATAAGAATATGCAGTTATAAAGCCTCTAAAGAATCTAATTATAAAAAGGCATTTATTTCTATGGCATTGAATTAAAAAGGTTTGGTTTTTGTTTGTTTTTTGTGTACATTTCGATGACTGCTATGAATTTCAAATATATAATACAATATTAATTTTCTTATTGTTTTGTCTCATCTGTGCTGCTCTTTAGCAATAATACTGTAAATATGGTATAAAATTAGATTTAATAATTGATATAATTTTCTGACTGTTATCCAAACTTTTTTTAGACAAAAATTAATTATAATTATGATATAATTTTACATCCGAACCGGTATTTCATTTACACTATTATGTCATATAAATAAAAGCTATAATTAAATTGCAATGAAATCTAAAGTAAAACATTTTATGCATGTTTTATGGATTCAAATATAGAATTTATAAACGATTGGTTTTACTGATTGTAAAATAAGAAAATAATTAACATTTTCAATAATGTTGTGATTACAAAAAATAGCATGAACAATTTTCCATAAAGTTTATGACATACGTAAACAGTATATTTGTTATAATTTTCATTTTAATAATCATATTTGGATGTAAAGTATAAAATTATGCAAATTTTAAAGTATTAAATGTCATGAGATTTATTGTCAGACAAGACATAAAACACAAATATATATGATTTCGTGTTTTGAATAATTTAAAGACAAAACAAAATACATTTGAATTTACTTTCGAGACATATTTAAAGACTTATTTTAAACTATTGTGAAAAAATTATACTAAAACTTTTAAAATAAAACTAAATTAATATTAAAAATCATTTTACGATTACATGATTTATGGTCTATAAGAGAGGCTGAGGTAATCAATCAAGAAATGTAAAAAAAATTTAATTAAAATTTCTCATTTATTTAACTTTGATTTTAAATTTCAATATTCAAAACACAACAAAAATTATAAAACTTTTTATTAGAGATGAAATAAATATGTTTTATTCAATCATTATATGACTAATCATTTGATTAAAACTGATAACAATTATAAATAAATATAAAGGAAAATTTATATCCAGTCTTCGTTATGATACATGTTATAAAAAACTAATCATTAGTTAATTTAATGTTCAATAATTATAATTAATTATTATAATTAATCAATAATACAGTGATTGTTATAAAACATTTCTTAATGCTTTTAATAATTGATTAAAAAAAATTCTAACTAATTGTGTTAATGTGTACCGAAAGGGGAGAGAGAGAGAGAGAGAGAGAGAGAGAGAGAGAGAGCAGATTTATAACAATTTGTATTTACTATTAAATTAGCTCTTTTTCTATTTCCTATAAATCTAAAAATATAATTAAATGTCAAAACATCAGTGAAAAGGATATACAGTATAAAAATGCAAATTATATAACAATTGTCGCTTTTGTCATTGAAATTAAGGTTTAAGTAATCTTTTGATAGCAAACCGAAAATCCCTATTAAGTAAGGCATAGAGAATGGGATTAAGTGTTGAATTGAGATACAGGAGCCAAACGACAGCATTGATCGCATGCATGGGTTTCAAGTGTATAGTCTTGGCGTCAGTGACCAGAAACATGACGTTCAACGGCAACAGACAAATGGCAAACACAGCCGTAATTACGGCCAAACTGCGGGCCACACGAAACTCGCGCCTCAATATCACGTCTCTCCTAATAAATGTTTGTTGCCTTAAAATACGATTCTGGTATTCAAGTGATTTCTGAATTGCAAAACATTATACAAAATAGTGATCAATAAATATTAACACTACATAAAAAACTTTTCAAACCTTATAAACTCCGATATAAAGGGGAATAATAATGCAAAACGGTATCAAAAACTTCAACACAACAGCGATTCTGAAGTACTTATTATCATCGGAAGGGATACATAGATTGCGGGCCAATCTCTCCATAAACACCCGACGGTCTCTCCAGCCCAGCATTGGCCACATATTGATGAGTAGTGGGAATGTCCACGAAAAGCAAATCATTGCCCACAAGTAGATCCTGTTTTTGTTTAATGAGTACTCCTTTCTTGTGACCGAAAGGTATCGATCGATGGCTATTGATCGCATGCATGGGTTTCAAGTGTATAGTCTTGGCGTCAGTGACCAGAAACATGACGTTCAACGGCAACAGACAAATGGCAAACACAGCCGTAATTACGGCCAAACTGCGGGCCACACGAAACTCTCGCCTCAATATCACATCTCTCCTAATAAATGTTTGTTGCCTTAAAATACGATTCTGGTATTCAATTGATTTCTAAATTGCAAAACATTATACAAAAATAATGATCAACACTAAAACACTAAATAAAAAACTTTTCAAACCTTATAAACTCCGATATAAAGGGGAATAATAATGGAAAACGGTATCAAAAACTTCAACACAACAGCGATTCTGAAGTACTTATTATCATCGGAAGGGATGCACAGATTGCGGGCCAATCTCTCCATAAACACCCGACGGTCTCTCCAGCCGTCGTAACCGGTGTATAACTACTCATCACCCTTACAGGTGCTTTTCGTTTAGTAACGGGTGTTCATCTAGGACAAAAACAAATTACTCATGAGGAAAGAACACTGGCTTTCCATAGCTAGCTACCGATTAAACATGAGATGAAAGAGCGATGTAGACGTGCAGACAGATGTGATCAAGTAGTGAATGTCACAGACAACTGATCCAAACCGCCATTCACTCAAATGCACGATATCTTTGTAGGCAAACAATGGCATAGAGAAGACACCGACGCACAGGTCTGTTATACTCAGCGATAATATCAGATAATTGGATCTGATTTGAAGTTTCGGTGTTTTTATAACCGCTGTTATGACCAAAACATTGCCAATAATTGTTATAAATATGATTATAAATAAGAGTAATGACGATAAAAATTGTATAAATTGAATGCTTTCGCCAGAAATTAATGTTGAATTCATTGTTTTAATGACAAATTATTTATAGAAATAATTAATAGAAATGTTTATTCATTATTTTTATATCCTTTGTATTTAAGGGAAGAGATTTTTTTCATGAATTATAAAAGTATTTTCTATCATGTGATGTAATTCTTTGTAATTCTGTTTAAGTATTTGTAATTAATAAATTATTATTAATAATAATTATAAATTATGATTTTAATAGTAATTACAAAATAAATTATAAAGTATTTGCAATCATTGGAAGAAATCCTGATTAACCACATGTTTGCACTGATTTGCGTTTATAAATACATGCATTGATTTGTGAAGAAAATAAATTTGTTATCAACTAAAATACTTTATAAATCAATTATAAAATACATTTAATAAATAAATATTCAATTAAATGNAATTATAAAGTATTTGCAATCATAGAAAGAAATCCTGATTAACCACATGTTTGCACTGATTTGCGTTTATAAATACATGCATTGATTTGTGAAGAAAATAAATTTGTTATCAACTAAAATACTTTATAAATCAATTATAAAATACATTTAATAAATAAATATTCAATTAAATGACAATTCAATTGCAAATCTATTTTATTGTTTAAATTGAAAAATCGCGACCAATTGTTGCGATAGAAATCAATATTAGAGTTACACAAGTTATTAGAGTCATCAAAAGTAGATTTAAATAACGATCACGTGATATAATTAAGTTTAATTCATTATATTTAATTCAAATATAAACAATAGACAGTTTAGCGACAGTTAATATTTGCAAACATTTGAAATAACTGTCAATTTAGAGATTATTATCCATCGATTAGTTTGATATAAAGACAGAAATGATTTATCAAATGCTGGCTTTGATTGTCATAACGACCGGTGCTTTATGTGAACCGGATTTGTGTCGAAACCCAAAACTGGATTCAATAACATTTGTGCCAAACCAGAAGAAGTGGTTCATAACAAGCGGTGGTTATTATTGGTATCTAACGGACAAAGAGTTGCCTCCGACTC